GGAAAAAAAAAAAAAAAAAAAAAAAAGGCTATGACACAATCTTGTTTCTCTAATTAATAACATTAATCGATCATGAATTATGACTCTGATAAAAGGATAAAGAGATTGATTAGACGGTTCTGAATAGTTTCAAATAATTCTATTAAAGAAAATCAAATTAGGTTTTGAAAGAAGTTCGGGCTATGGAATTAGACGATAGTCTATCTTGATTAAATGTAATAGTTGTCATCTTGGTGAAAAATAATGGAAAAGGTTTGATTGGAATTGTTTATACTAAAATCCGAAAAAAGAAAACATGCAATGTAAGAGATTGGAATTAGACAGTGTGTCGTTGTCTATTAGTGGACTCGTCTCTGTCAGCAAACTAATTTTGCATAATTATTGAGGAAGACGATTCATAAAATACACACAAAAATACTAAAATACAGGGCAAAGTACGGTCGCGTCACAGCAAAACTCCATAATTGCCACTGCGTCCCACGCCATGTTATACCCTCCACCGCACTCACTTTTACTCCACAAAAAGCTCTTCAAAATCCATAGATTTCATCGAAATCCCTTCACCCCCATTTTCAAGTAACTCAAGCTTATTCATCTCCTTTCACTAGCTTGAATTGGGTCCTTAGTTGATTCAAGAAAATAATCAGATCTAGCTTCTTTAAGCCAGTAGGGCTTTGGGGAGATCTTGTGTTGGGAGCTATACGTTTGTATTGGTAATTTGTCGAGAAGGGTGAAAAGATGAGTATGTACGGGAGGGATCCGTGGGGAGGGCCGCTCGAGATCAATGCGGCGGACTCCGCCACCGATGATGACCGGAGTAGGAATTTACAGGACTACGACAGGGCTGCGCTGTCACGGCCGTTGGACGAGACGCAGCAAAGCTGGCTGCTCGGCCCTGGGGAGCAGAAGAAGAAGAAATATGTAGATCTGGGGTGTATTATTGTGAGCAGAAAGATCTTTGTTTGGACTGTGGGTACAATCCTGGCTGCAGGACTCTTGGCTGGGTTTATTACTTTGATCGTCAAGACTGTGCCCCGACACCGCCATCACCCGCCACCCCCGGATAATTACACTGTGGCACTTCACAAGGCGCTCATGTTCTTCAATGCCCAGCGCTGTAAGTGAACAGTATACTATTACTTCTTACTTTGGATTCATCACTATTCTTGTATTTGCATGATAACAATTTGTTCAGTTTGGTATTAGTTTTTCAGATCTGATGAATTTTGGTATGAGATTGACGCGTCCATATTAAAATGAAGGATTTTATATTATATCTATCAATAATTATCCGTAATTATGGCTCTGTCGTGTGGTGGGATTTTTAAATTCTTTTTACATATACTTTTGAGCATATATTTACCATATGGATTTGATAAAAGAGGATAAGGACCATAAGTAGATAGTATATTTCACATGCTGGCAAGCTCATTCTGTGTTTAAAGTTTTTGGTCCTTTGGTTGAGAAATTGCCAAATTGCTAGTGATCGCTTCATTTTTCTGAAGATTATTATGTTTTCGTTATTAACTGTGGTTTACATTAGATGATCATCGGATCTTCAATTAGACACTGAATTTGACTTAAGATCCACAGGCAGCCTCTGTTCAAATTGCACTTTTAGATTTGTCTTACTAAATAGTTTAAGAATTCTTACACCAATGCCAGGTTTATATTTGGACTCATTGGCTGTGGTCGATCACAGGATTATAATTTATTGCATTTGGTCTATTGAGTTGTGCATTTTATCTAATGTCTCAAATGGATTTTTACAGCTGGAAAGCTTCCCAAGCACAATAATGTCTCGTGGAGGGGAAACTCTTGTTTAAATGACGGGAAGTCTGATAGTGGAAGTATATTCAAGAATCTAGTTGGTGGCTATTACGATGCTGGAGATGCGATCAAGTTCAATTTCCCTCAATCTTTTGCCATGACTATGCTGAGTTGGAGTGTGATAGAATACAGTGCAAAGTATGAAGCTGCTGGGGAGCTTAACCATGTTAAAGATATTATCAAGTGGGGGACGGATTACTTCCTCAAGACTTTCAACTCCACAGCGGATTCCATAGATCAGCTAGTTATGCAGGTAAATACCATGGAATTGTTGGTAATAATCTATGAAATTACAGAATGATGTCATATTACACGTTCCCGTTAATGGGAATTTACAAAAACATGCTAGATTTTACACTGCTGATCTTGTGGTTTTCCTATAACTCATTAATGTACTTTTGTCCCTTGGCATAAATTACGAAGGAGAAGCCTTGTTCAACTCGCTTAATAGCTGACCACTTGTCTTCCACAGACTTGTGGTAGCTTCACTCTCATAAGTTCTTGCTCTTGGCCTTGAGTTGAATTCCACTTTTCTCCTTTTGTACATGCTTGTTAAAAGGAATTTCTATGATTTTACTTGGTAGGTTGGAAAGGGTGGTACTTCGGACGATTCAGATCCCAATGATCACAACTGTTGGATGCGCCCTGAAGACATTGATTATGATAGGCCAGTTGCTATATGTAGTACTTGCTCGGATCTTGCTGCAGAGATGGCTGCTGCATTGGCTTCAGCATCCATTGTTTTCAAGGATAATAAGGCCTACTCACAAAAGCTTGTCCATGGCGCCAAAACCCTATTTAAATTCTCCAGGGACCAGCGTGGTAGATACAGTACTGATAATGAAGCTTCAATTTTCTACAACTCCACCGGCTACTGGGATGAGTTTGTTTGGGGTGCATCTTGGCTATACTACGCTACGGGAAATTCTTCCTACCTTCAGCTGGCTACGACTCCTGGTATCGCTAAGCATGCCGGTGCTTTTTGGGGAGGCCCATATTATGGTGTATTAAGTTGGGACAATAAACTTGCTGGAGCTCAAGTAAGTTTCACTAAAAAAATTAATTTTTGTTTACTTTTGTATGTGTTCGATTTGAGTTTTACCTACACGATCCCCTTTGCACTTGTAATTACTAATTCTGTTACACGGATTAAATCCTTTAAATAACGAATCTTATAGGCCTGTTCTTTTAGTTTACAACCAACAGTTGAACTCCAAGGTTTTTCAAATTGCCAAGTTCACTTTTCTTTGCCTGCTGTAGGATCTTATGTTTTCATGGGCTGAAGTTGCATTCCAGCCATTCTATTTGTTTTAATAATGTATGAATGTTGAAATAGAAAGTGTTCAATTTTATTATCGTCTTAGGAACAATATTTGCAGCTTTTCTGAAAAAATTAAACTGCTGATTTGATGTCATCTGGACTTTGGAAGTTTTCCTGCCAAAGCATGTAGAGTTTGCATAGTTTAAGAATTTTACAGATTGTTTGTAAAAAATCTTTTTGATACTGTATTTAGGTGCTTCTGAGCCGATTGAGATTGTTCTTGAATCCTGGCTATCCTTATGAGGAAATTTTGAGTACATTTCACAACCAGACAGGCATATTTTTGTGCTCCTTCCTGCCGGATTTTACCACGTTTAATAGAACTAAAGGTAATCAATCTTGCCTCATTGCCACGAATGGAAAACTAAATATGTTTTATGCTCTTAGGTTTTTAACTTCTACTAATGTTGGGGGACACATTTTACAGGAGGCATGATCCAGTTAAACCATGGATCACCTCAACCTCTTCAGTATGTAGTCAATGCAGCATTCTTGGCTACGGTGTTTAGTGACTATCTTGATGCTGCTGATACACCTGGGTGGTACTGTGGACCCCATTTCTACCAAACTAGCGTTCTTCGAAAATTTGCTCAGACCCAGGTGACATACACGCTGCCTTCTCATTTGAACGCATTTTAAGTTGGTGATTATTTACATTGTTTTTTTCGTTACTCTCCAGATAAACTACATCCTTGGCAAAAATCCTAGAAAGATGAGTTACGTTGTGGGCTTTGGAAATCTCTATCCAAAGCGCGTCCACCATAGAGGTGCATCCATACCCAAGAACAAGGTCAAATACAACTGCAAGGGAGGATGGAAATGGAGGGATTCGAAAAAGCCAAACCCTAATACAATTGTTGGTGCCATGGTTGCTGGCCCTGACAGACACGATGGATTCCACGATGTTCGTACAAACTACAACTATACGGAGCCAACCCTTGCTGGAAATGCTGGTCTAGTTGCAGCACTTATCGCCCTATCTGGAGAGGGGACTACAAAAATTGACAAAAACACGATATTCTCTGCAGTACCACCAATGTTCCCAACACCCCCACCGCCACCAGCTCCGTGGAAACCATGAGTCGCAATAATGGAATTGGTCTTTTTGCTTTTGCTGTTCGACTCTCGGTGAACTGAATATTGATGTTGCAGTTAATTTCTAAAGCATCCTGAAAGCCAAAGGAGTATAGAAACTAGGAGCTTTAAGACAGCTGCTGAGTGGACCGGAAAGTTGGTATAACTTGAGGAATTACCCTTTTCTGTTCAAAAGTTTGTGATATACTGTGTGTATGTATGTATTATACCAGCTATATATTCTTTCGAAAACAAGAACTTGAACATTAAGGATCGAGATGTTTTTAGAATAAATTCAAATGATGATGTCTAATATGTACTCCTGTGTGCAACACATTTCTCTTTAGCAATGCTCGTGTTCGTAGTTTCTTGTACGAGGCTTGAAGACTTTTCACTTACATATTATCGTTTTCTCTGTTCTAAACACAAATTTCATCTCATTTTCATTTATAATGTAATCTCCCGTTTTATCTCTTGAGCATGAAATTCGGCAATAAGGTGATCCACATTCAAGAGTTATTTCTTGCCCTAGCCTTTACTGGCATTAAACTCTTGGCTCACCTCCCTATAGATCTTGACACTGGCATTACAAAACTTATTGTTTTCTGCAACGTGTTCACTTCGGACAGGATAACGAGTTCAGGATTCATTGAGCTCGGTACGTGGGTTGTGACCGAAATGATTGGGGACACAGGATTTATCTCCCAAACGCCCAATCCCACCAATAACGGAAATACGAGGTAGGCTATGGTTCAGTAAGAATGGTACTATCTAATATCAATGGTATTAGAACACAAGTTTATGTGACAAATTCAATTAAATGTGAAATTATGTAATTCATTTAATGATACTTAATGCCACTTATACCAGTGTTGTAATATTTGTAGTGCTAAATAACATTACACATTCAGTAATCATAAGCCATAGATTAGATAATTGATGCACAATTCTAAGTCGCACACTATAACATAAAATGACCGTGACGGTTTGCGTTATACCTTTTTTTTTTTTTTTTTTTAACAAGGTGTCCAATTCTTGACTAGTTCTTGGGTCTGTGATCCTGCCCTTCTTCACACAGTCCAGTTAACCGCGGGATGTGCCTCCAACTAGCCAGGGTCCGAGCCCTCCTCAACTGATCTGCCAAAGTGCCTAGCAAGTCTATCCAAGTTGCGCCTTGCCTTCCAAGAGCCCCATGAATCGAATTCACGACCTCTGATCTGCCAGCACTGAAAGTTTTCCTACCATGACACATTACATGCACGTCTATCTTTGAGATTAAAATCTTAAAAAAGGTCCGGCCTCGGTACTGTTTCATCTCCTTACAATTTCCTGTAAGTTGGATTAAGAAATGGTCCCGTTTGACTCCAATATTTTTAATCTTCACCATCCACAATAATATCATAGTAACGAATAACAATTTATTATTGATTAATATACTCTTATATTAAAACATGTCGAAAAGGATGGCTCCAATATTTTCCATATGAAAGAAAGGGAAATGTGAAAAGTCAAAAGTAACCGGCGTGGTTAATGAAAGAAGAAATAATTAATTAAAATACCTGATAGGTCCATGAGAAACGTAATGCAAAATGCCACGCAAGAATACAAATTCACCCAAAGCACCACAACAGGTCAAGGAACTTCATGTTTGTTATTATTGGTTATAAGTAGTGAGTATTTGTGGTGAAAAATAAGTAAAAATTGTGAATTTTATGAGTGAAATGTGCGAATAAAAATAAAATTCGATCAGTTTATAGTCTATAAGTAATTAATAATACACTTTGACAAATATATATAATCAATGAAACCCTTTAAATTCTCGAACAGGTCTACTTATAAATATTTAACTTATAATATAAGAATTTATTATTATTATTTGGGAATTAGGGCTCATTTGGCGGGACTATGGTTTTTGTTTTTATTTTTTAAATCTTTATGATGAAATTATCTTAGGTTAATATTCTTTAAAAGCTATTCTGATTATACAAAGCACTTTTCAAACATATTCAAAAGTAGCTTCTTGATTTCAATAATAATTTTTGACTTTTAAAAAGTTGTGCCAAATTATTCTCAAATTTTCAAAATTTGGGGCTAAATTGCATTATTCTAGTAAATTACGTCCTCAAACAAAAACAAATGCCACTTGGGTGGTTCCCTCGGGTAAAATAAATAAATACAGGTTTGACCAATAAGTAACCAGAGACTGGCATTGTTCATTCTACTTGTAAAACCGTTCCTTCTCCTCCGCTCCTCCTACTGGCCCCTACACTACAAAAACCCTCTCTTTCTATCTAAAGATACACAAAATTTGTACGTATAGATATGGCACTAAACTATGAGTATCCTGTATACATGTTGAGAAGTGAGAAGGGGTACACGGTGACAGAGTTGGAGAAGAGGCAGCTGTTCTTGAGAAGCTACCAGTTTTCCAAGAAGCAGAGTTTGACTGAGAAGATTAAGAAATCTTTGTTTAGAGTGAAAAGGGTGATATGGGGTAGATTCAGATCAGCAAGAAAGTTAAGGAAGATGCTGTGGTTGAAGCTCAAAAATGGCTTGTTTTTCACAAGTAGAAGAAGAAGAAGAAGAAGGTTTTTTCTACGCCTCCATAACAGCAACAGTCGAGCTGCATTAAAAGATGTTAGTTGCCCATCTTATTGTTTCTGGTAGGATTTTATTTTTCTCATTTTTACGTTTTGTATTTGATGGTTTGGAATTCTTGAATGGGAATGGTCAGTTTTGGTTTCAATCATAATTTTCTGTTTGTTTTAGCATCTATGTTGACTTATATTTGTCATGGATCATAACATGGAAAGTTCTGAACAAGGCTTTTAAAATGTTAAAACTTGGTTTGGAGATTAAGAAATCGTTTTTAACATATTTGGATGATTCTCTAAAAGTGCATTATCCGACTAAAAGGGCTTTTAAAGAAAACCATCAAGAAGCTCTTTTACAAGAAACAGAATCAAAAGGCCCTTCAAACACCACGAAAATCATGGACAAATCATTTGAAAATTGAATCAAAAAAATCTTCACGTTAAAGATAGAAACTAGACCTTATGAATAACTCAAAAAAAGAGATGATGATCAGACATGGAGGATGAAATGAAACTGATGACAGGAATCATGAAATTGTAATTTCATGGTTTCATTAAGCATGGTTGGCAAGTTACTTTTTTCTTGAAGAAAGTAAGTTTTGTTAAACTAAAAAGTAGCTTCTTCGAATATATATACTCTCTGTTTGATCCCATTAAATTAAATTATATTAAATTTCATTTTTCTTTCTCATATTTTCAACCACACAATCTTTCATAAATAATATTACACGTAAATCGAAAACTTTTCTTTCTTTTTCAACCACTCCTTATTCTAAAAAATACTATTCTCCCCATTTTCATTTTCAGGTAATGAGGATCAAACAGGGGCTATGGATACTGCAGCTAAACATACTGTTATATATTAATATATGGATTGCTATAAGTGTAAGGATTTTTTAACCCATCGATGAGTTTATATGTGTGAATAATTGTGTGTTAAATTAAAGACTATCAAATTCGGTTGAGTCCAACTAAAGTGATCTAATAAGGTTTCGATTTTGGGTTTTAATGTATCTAATTAAAATATGAATTTACATATGTGTAGAGATCGGGCCCAAGTTCTAATTCTATGATGGGCCGAATTAGGTCAAAGGGCGTCGCTATATAAATATGGTTATGGTCCCCAAATCACACGTACGTATTATTCATTCTCTTCTACATTCTATCACAGAGAGAAAAAGGAGGCTGCGTTTAGATTGGGAAGACAAGACTACGCAATTCATTATTGCATTAACCATGTCTGATTCAGGTACGCTTTCGATATAGTTCTTCGATTTTTTGACGATTTAACATGAAAGATACGGTGATTTAACGTAATAAATTATCCTATAAGTTCATTACAAACAAAATAGAAAATTGGAAAAACCGCTACGGGACCAACCACCATCTTTTTCTGTAAAGAAAAGCATCGGAGAGACAAAGATTCGCGCCTGCCTGCGTGCTTGTAATATTGAATTCACAGAACGTTTTCAAAGACTGTAGGACCTGAATTCACATTGGTTTTGCATAAACTACGTTTATCAAAGTCACTTGAAATTTGTGAGCAATTACTTTAAATTATTTTCTTTAAGCATGCATATAGGGGCAACCCGTTTGAACTGTGTTGCCCGTATTCAATGATTTTAAATGGTAAAAATTCTTGATCTCTTATCCTTCTTCATTATTCGGGTATTTTTGTTAAGCGACGTCAAATTATAATGGTGCATAATTTTTCAAGAGTAATGCCATTCATATATAAGATGACAATAAAATCATCATCCCATTGTCTAATGGAATTATAATATAGATTTTTATCAAAGTCAAAAAATTAATTTTAACCACTTACTTCATGAAACTCACAATTTTTCGACCATTTATTTTATTAAATTTTATCAACGCCTCTAATTTGTGTGTTTTGATTCATTCTATTTTTGATATTGCAACTAGCTCAAACTAAATACAATGTATTATGTTCGCTAAAAGGGGTGGAACCACATGAAGTCATGTGGGGTCAAATGACCTCACAAAATTTTGGAATTTTTTTTTTAATATAACAGCAACCCACTCCAATTATCAAATCCAATTTCCCAATAGTAGCTCACACTTGTGAAAAGCCCAAATCCAATCACCATATCCATAATCCCATTTACTCATTTACCCAAATCTAATCCAACTTATATAATGAGTTCCAATATCCCCAAATCAAATCCCATTTTTCCCAAATTGCCAATTGTCAAACGTGAGTCGTGACTCGTCTTTCTTTTTTCTACTTTCCTATTTTCTCTTCGCCATTAGCCCTCCACCGGGCAATCCCTAAGCGGCTCAACCCCGGTTGCTACTCAACTACGAACTAAGGTGAAAATTTTCATTTTTGATCCCACGGTTCGAAATGTCTGGATCCGCCCTTGTTCGCTAACGTTAAGTGTGACAGTCATCTAAATAAACTTCCTATGTCTGATTACTGCATTTTATTTCACTTGTTCTTCCAATCTCTGAACCATTATATTTTTACTGTAAACTAGCAGTGAATATTATGCTTATATAATTTGATACAACACAAACAGTTATTTAATTTGGAAGAAATCACGATGTTATAATTTCAAACCGTGTTAGAAATTATATAGATGCGAAACAATCCCCAAAATTGCCGAAATTTGAGTTCACGAAATGGATTCTCACACATGAATTATGGGGAAAAGAGGAGAATGTAATATCAAGAAGATCAATCTGGAATTGGACGTTTATTTCTTGAGTTCGATTTATGGAGTTTCGATATCTTTGAAATATTGAAGAGGAGGTAAATTGGGTGTTTTGTTAATCTTTGATATGATGATGAAGAGGTAAACTGGGGATTGTGGGCATGATCCTGGGTTGGGCTGGGTGTTTATATGGCTTGTTTGGTGGAGTGATATTAGCATAGAAATTGACTAACTTTGAAGAGTGAATGAACTTTTTTGTTATTAATTTTACTGCATATATTAATAGTACTTTTGGAATAAAAAAAGTTGAAATGCAAAATTTGAATATTTATCTATTTTACTATGTAGGGTGAAATTTCCTCTTTTAATTATAAGTTTAAGTTGGACCAAATAGAGGCTTAATTACTTATAAGTTATAATTAAAACTTGTGAAAATTACAGCAAAGCCTACTTTTTAAATTCCAATTTCAAAAATCAAGTTTAAGTTTTGTTTATACAAAAATCAAATGAAAATTTAATATTTTAATAATATTATTATTATTTTAAAAATAAATTAATCTATATACTCTCCAGACCTCCCACCCAAGTTTCATTCTCGAACCCTAATGATTTCCCTCTCTCCCTTCTTTCTACATCTCTGATCTCTTTCTTTACCACACACAACTATCACCAGAGGCAAACGCCGCACACGATGCCATTAGTGCTGTCACAGCACGATGGAGGCTGTCGTCGTGCTACGACGAACATCGTCTTCATTTTTGAAGCTTTGAGAGTGGCGGCATCATCTCCTACATCACAACACCGTAGCAGCAGTATCATCTCCATCTCCCTGCTCATCTACTTTGATTCCATCGAAGAATTGTAGACAATGCATCACTTGCTCCCTGCAATGATGCCAATGGCAATACTTTTGATTTTGGATATGAAGTTTTAAATTTAAGTCTCCTATGTGGTTTTACTTTGGATTTTGGATCAGTCGACAATGATGCCAATGATTCCATCGGAGAACTAGCGAGTTTACTTTGGTTTTTGGATATGTGGTTTTAAATGGTTCAACTCGAAATACTTCTAAGCGAAGATGGTAGTTTGGTTGCGGACGAGGAGGTGATGGTGGCAATTTGAATCTTCTCGCTTGTGTGACTGTGGAGGTGTGGTGGTGGATCTTTTAGATGTGTTTGAAGGTGGTGGTGGTGACGGTGACGATGAAAGTGGTGGTACTATCGGTGGAGGTGGTGCTGGTGCTGAAGGGTCGCGTGTAGGTGCATGCAGTAGTGGTGTTGGTGGTGGGTGATGTGGCGGTGGTGGTAGTGGTAAGGTGCCAAGTGCGTGGGTAGAACAAAATGTTTTTGTGATCAACTATTTGAGTGATTGTGATTAATAAAATAATTAATGTGCGATCAATAAATAGTACGTGATTGACAAAATAGATAAGTTGTGATTAATAAATAACGTGTCATCTAAAAAATGTGGAATTTCGATTAAGTATATAATTACTACCATAAATTGTTAAGTTGTAATCACGTAATTAGATATTTTGTGATCTAAAATAAGTTGTACAAATTGGTGATTTGTCATCGAGAAATAATGTGCGATCAGTTAATTTGATAATTTATTAGTGATAAATAAATCGTGACCTATAAAATTTATAATTTGTGATTAAGAAATAAATTGTGACAAATTAATTTTCTAATTTATGATCGCGAAGCAAGTCGAGACTTATTAAATTTGTAATTTTTGATAAAAAAAATAATACGCAACCTATTAATTTGATAATTTGTAACCGATAAATAAATTGTGACCTATAAAATTTGTAATTTGTAATCGAGAAATAATGCGTGACTTATATTAATTTGATAAATTGTGGCCAAAAGAAAATTTGCGACCTATGAAACTTGTCATTTGTGATCGAATAATAATAAGTGATCAATTAATTGGATAATTCATAATTGTGATTGTGATTAATACATAATTGTGACAATAAATTATATAAGTATCTTGCCCAAATTCATATGTAATTGAGCCTCAATTGCGCCTTTTGCGATGGAATGTTTCAGATTTTGCCGCGCGGCGGTCAACCCAAACGAGATTCAAATCTTGTCATTTTCACCAAACCGAAGGTTCGGATTGTCCGAACCAAAACACTCTGTCTCAACCCCGAACCTTAAATTTGTTTATCTTTGTCTTATCTCGTACACTAAAATATTCCCTAAATCCCCTCTTTTCAGCCGTACAGTTCCTCCTTGCCTAATCCTAACCGTCTGATTTGCTAACAAGTATTAATCAACGCCGAAAAACCTTTCACTACTTCCGTATATGATTGGCGCATCTTTCACTCGTGTCTCTCTAGAAGAACATCTCTCTCTCTCCCCCAGCCATATGAATTCCCGTAATTTTCTGTGAAATCTTGAAGTAGTAGGTGTTTTGGCTGCTGAAAATCCATTCATACACCAGGTATATGTGTATATAATATACAGCTGTATCAAGTATGTATCTATATATATGATGATTGCAAAAGAAAAAAATTGTTCTTCACAAATGTGTGACTGAAACAGGAACCGTCGTCTGACCGTCAACACCTAATTCTGTACTTGTACATAGTTTTGAATTTTTGATCTGAGCGTAAAAAATGGTCAACTAGTCTATACTTGGGAAAAATCTATGTATTAGCTGTAGGCAGCTTTTTACTCGTTGATGTTGATACATGCCTGTGTTGTAGCTTTCCTTCAATCCAAATGGAGATTAGAGTGACTAACTGCTTAATACCCATTTCTAGTCAACACCTAATTCTGTACTTGTACATAGTTTTGAATTTTTGATCTGAGCGTAAAAAATGGTCAACTAGTCTATACTTGGGAAAAATCTATGTATTAGCTGTAGGCAGCTTTTTACTCGTTGATGTTGATACATGCCTGTGTTGTAGCTTTCCTTCAATCCAAATGGAGATTAGAGTGACTAACTGCTTAATACCCATTTCTAGGTCGGAGCATCAAAGTAAATTAGACATCTGAGTTTTACATTGAAGCGATGGCGTCGTTGGCGGAGAAACGACCTGTGGATCCGTTGCTAAAAGATCTCAGTGAGAAAAAACAAAACTTCCGGCGAAACGTGGAGTCGCTGGGGGCAGAGCTCAAGGAGGTCCGAGGCCGTCTTGTTTCGCAGGAACAGTCGTCTGCTCGCGAAAGCATAAACAGACAGGCACGAACAAACTATAATTTCTCATATAATTCATGTCAGATAAATGAAATGATTTCAACCTTTCGTTTTAGTTTAGAGAAGTTAGTGTTGGACACTTAAATCGTTTCAAAATCATGAAAATTCCGATGACGGATATCTATTACTTCTTCGTTTTAAATTTGATTTCTGTTCATACAGGAAGCAGAAACCAAAGCCAAATACCTGGAAAAAGAGATAAGTAGATTGCAGAAGAGTTTAGATGACAGAAATCAGCAGCTTCGGGCTTCAAAATCTGCGGCCCAGATGGTAAATATTAATTCTTTCTATGCTTTTCTGCATTATTTCTACACCTTAATTTGTTGTATTCTCGTAATAAGATTTAAATCTTGACGAATCTGATCGAGAATGGTACTTTTTGGCTTTAAAGTGTATCCACCTATCTTTTCAGTAATTCTACTTTCCTTTAGCCTTTTTTATCATTGGCCCAAGAATCATTGTTTTCAAGGACGATTTTGTTGTGTGGTTGACAGATAAAGTTATGTTTAAGGAACATTTGAGGGCGGGTTTAAGGAACAAAATTATTACCAAGAACCAGTGATAGAGTTCCTCTCTTAATGCGCAGTTATAAATCTATAAAATTACCCTTGGCTCTTCAACTTCATTAAAGACAGAAATGTGCAAGCAAAAGACTAAAAATTCACCATGGCCTTTGATGTTGACTGAAAATGTTTTGTTCGTGACGTTTCATAACCATCAAGTCAAGCTTCTAGCGCTCTCCAATGTTTGCATAACACTAGACATGTAAACAAGTATGCCCCTCTATATGGGTAATCCAAGCCTTCTGATAAGAACTTGGATTAGAAGAGGACTAATATTCATTTGTAGGTATACAAGCAACCTTTTTTTTTTTTTTTTTGACACCTATATCTTGCTTTGGGGAGATGTACTGACTTGGCATTGCATTATCAATTTCCATCATTCTCATCACTTCCTATTATTTATCTATATATAACAAACTGGACTAGGACTTCCAAAACAATGAGAATCTTTTTGACTTGATATAGTCATTTTTATGTATTTTGGTTCATACTTCTATGGCGATTATTGCCTAATTTCATGAGTGAAAATGGAATTCTGTTCTCTTACCTCTGACGTCTAGTATCTATCCAAAATATCCTATTGCATATGATTCTTTTCCTTAATCTTAATTCTGATTAAGTTCTTTTATTTTTAACGTATTTTAGTATGTAAGGGATTTGGATGATCTGAAGTCGCAGCTTTCAGCAACTAAAGCAACTGCAGACGCAAGTGCATTATCTGCTCAATCTGCACAATTACAGTGTTCTGCATTGTTGAAAGAACTAGAAGTGAAAAATTGCTCTTTAAAAGAGCACGAGAATCATGTGAATAAAATGGGAGAACAATTAGATCTTTTACAGAAGGATCTTCAAACAAGGGAAATTTCTCAAATGCAACTCAAAGATGAAGTCTCAAGAATTGAGCACGAGATCATGCAAGCATTAGCTAAGGCTGGAGCAAATAAAGATTGTGAGCTTAGGAAAATATTAGATGAGGTTTCCCCAAAGAATTTTGAAAAGATTAATAAGCTTTTGACTGTGAAGGATGAAGAAATAGCTAAGTTGAGGGATGAAATTAGGATTATGTCCGCTCATTGGAAGCTGAAGACTAGAGAGTTGGAATCTCAGGTTTGTTATCTTAACTTGTTTTGTAGTAGAAACTATTCAATTAGATCTCTCATTTAGATCCAAGATTAATGTTCTAATGATAAATGCTTTGTTTGACAGTTAGAGAAGCATCGTAGAGTTGATCAGGAGTTGAAAAAGAAAGTCCTCAAGTTAGAGTTTTGTCTTCAAGAAACTCGTTCTCAAACTAGGAAGCTGCAAAGGGTAATTCTCTATTTTTCTTTTATAACTGCATTGATTTATCATGTTTGATGCGTCTCATGGATTAAAATTACGGGTGGATGAAGCATGCCGAAAATTGATTATTAACTTGCAGCGAATTTGCAAGGTTAATATGACTCTAATTCGCTAAATTTGTCACCTCTCTCTGGTCATGTTAATATTGATGGCATTCATTCTGATTCATATATATCTCACAGATGGGAGAGCGAAGAGATAGAGCTCTGAAGGAACTGAGAGATCAATTGGCTGCAAAACAACAGGGTGCACCAGTAAATGAAAAACATACTCCATGGGAAACTTCTGGTTTCAAGATTGTAGTTTCGATGTCAATGTTGATCTTAGTAGTATTTTCAAAGAGATAATTTGATCTTAGTAATATTCTCGAAGATGTTATGTCGTTGCAGCATCTATTCCTACTCTATACTAAGATTACATACGTAGAAGTAAAGTCGAGTAGAATAGGTCATGTGCATATTCTGTTTTATTGTAGAAATGTGCACTTTGAAGGTTGTTTTCTTTTGTATTCAACATCATAACCCTCTTGTTATGCCTCAGTTCTTAGAATGGCCACAGTTTTAATGAAAATATGGAGTAAAATATATTTTGTTAAGTGAATAATTACAAGTTAAGAGGGTAATTCTCGAATCAACAAACGCAATGCATGGACAAGGTTGCCTCTATATATCTAAAATTAATCTTACAGTCATAATGGATGCTACTGCAATGATGCGGCCAATAAATGGCTGAAACTATTTGATGTGGAAATTGAAGCGTTGGCACCAAAGCCGGTTGAGCTGCCTGCATACCCAGGACTGCTACTATTGACTGATGAACTAGTTGAACTGCAAAAGTGAAAAGAAGAAAAGAACGCAATAAAGTATTGATTTCTACTTAGTTTAGGGTAATTTTCGTTAGTTTCAGTGTTTGGATCCGTTTTAAAGCAATTGGAGAAAAAAAAAAAAAAAAGAATGTTTAATTGGCTATTGGAGGGAAATTTAGGTATCGAATTCTACACTTTGAAAAGTGAAGGATTTGAATTAAGCTGGAGAAGATAGGGGCGGCACAAATAAATTTGTACCAAGGACTGAATTTCATTAAGTGGAAAAAGTGGTGTCTTGATGAGAAATATCTCACTAATTGGACGTCAAACCAATATGAAAAGGGATAAAAGTTTATTGGGCAATTTACAAAAATGCTCTTAAAATTAGAAGTGTTTTGAAAAATCATATGAAAAAATTTTTGAAAGTAAAAAATACTGTGTAAAATGAAAAGTGACACTATGTCACTTTTTTTTTTTTAATATAAAAATTGTGACTTTTTTTAAGAAAAAGTGACACAAACGCTTAAAAAGTGACAAATTAAAAAAAAGAAAAGAAAAAAAGTGAAACAAACTCAAAAAAAATGACAAACACAAAATTAGCATCATCTATTTGTAAAGCACTAATAATCATATTTTTAACATAATCAGCATATCTAAGACAATTCATATGAGCGTGGTGGCGGTTCTTAACATAATCAGTATGTCCAAAACAATCCACTTGTTGATTATATTAGAAAAATATGACATATCATGTCACTTTTTATCTTATTAAATAAATGTTGAAAGTTTGTAAGGTGACAAAAACTAAAAAAAAAGTGGCAAAATGTAAAAAAGTGACTGTCACTTTTGAAAATTTAGTATCACCTTTTTATTAAAAATTGACATAAAATGTCATTTTTATTAAAATTTGATGTTTGTCACTAAAAAAAAGTGATGGAAATTTCAAGAACGTAATTGATAAAAAAGTGACAAAAATTTAAAAAAATGATGAAAATTTTAAAAAAGTGTCGAAAATTTTAAAAAGTGACGAATTTAAAAAAAGACACAAATTAAAAAACCTACACAAATTTAAAAAAGTGACGAACAATAAAAAAAAAGCGACGTAAATTAAAGAAAGTGAAAAACTTTAAAAAAAAAAAAAAAGTGATGATACTTAGATCAATGTCACTTTTATTAAAAAATTATGTTTGTCACTAAAAAAAAGTGATACTAATCAAGAAGATGATGGAAAAAAGTGACAAATACTATAATATTGACAAAAAAATTTTTTAAAAAAAGTGACAATTATTTAAAAAAGATTGACGAATCCAAAAAAGCGACAAAATAAAAAAGTGACAAACACTAAGTGAAAAAATTCAACAAATGTGACAAACAAAAAAAATGACAAATATTTTTTTTTTTAAAAGTGATATAAATTCAAAAAAGGTGACAGAAAATAATAAAAAATAAAAGTGACATGATGTTACTTTTGAGATCACTTCTTGATCTCAAAAGTAATTTTGTCCATTCATAAACAATGGCTAGATGTCTATAAAAGATTTTCATTTTCTCTCTAGTTATCACATCTAATTTCACAAGGTTTGGATTGTTATCATCTCCTTGTTAAATGTCGAGGAGAATAGCACGCGGGCCAATCTTTTTGCCCTCAATTCTATTTATTGTTAAAACATTTATAATAAACATATAAATGGTACACTTTTACTTACAATTATATAGGCAATAGTCCATATTAATAGAACTAAAAAATATCCATAGAAATTAGAAAATCGATAAAAAAATCTAACTTCCTACAAAAATAGTAACTTGTTTAATATAGGTATCATATAAATTTCTAACTTTAGACTTTAAAGAATTCAAGTATTCAATAGAACTCGAAAAACAAACATTTCCCACCACTTAAAATTTCTTCTAAACAATGACGTTGGTAGCACGGGCAATCATAGGCCAAAGATCAACACAGTCCTTTCCAATTGGACCAGTTATGGTAGAACCTACATGCATAGTAGTGATAAATTTTAAAAAAAGTGACGAAAAACGAATTAAACATTGAAATCAATTAAATAAAGTAATAGAAATTTAAAAAAAAAATGACACAACTACCATCCCTCCTTTTTCTTCATTCAATACCAAGCATCTTAAATTCAATTTATCGACAAAACACCGATCAAAATGTCAAGAGTTAGCACAAAATTCCCCATCCAACTCGGTACTCACAGTCACTATGATCACCAACAATTGAGCTTTCATAACCTGATTCTTGTTCCAATCCGCTAGACCATTGATTCCATCAATAAAATTTCTTTCTTTTTTTTTTTTTTTGTATAAACATATTGCATAAACCTCGATTCACTCAGAAACCTGAAATGATTTTAGCAATAAAATCCAATTTTTACATAATTTCCCAAAAAAATAAATAAAAAATAAAAATTCACGATTCCATTGAGTAAAACAAAGTGAGCAGACGTCAATGTAGAAGAAATCAAAGTCTTGCGCAAGATGAATAATACACATGCATACGGACATTTACACACAGATACACAAGGGGAAGAAAGCAAAGTCTTTCATGAATCAACAACTCTCTTTTTTTTTTTTTTTTTTCCCTCAAAAATCTCAAGTGATGGAGTTCGAAGTATGTTGGACTTGAATTCTGATTCGGAAGCAGCAGAATTGTGAAATTAATTGGGGGAAAGGGTTTTTTTTTTTTTTTTTTTTTTTTTTGGGGACTTTTCTGGAACTTGGAACTGACTTGGTTTTTGGGGGTGGTTTTGATAGTTTTACACCGTATTAAATACGTGGTTAAATTATTTAATTAGTTAATAGGGTATTAATTAACTTAGTTAATTTTTTAGTGTATTAGATCTAATTTACCCAAGTTTATTTGTACTTGGACCCTTTTGGTCTAGTGTCTGGTGATTGGAATTTGAAAGGAATTGGAATTCAAGATGGGGGGTTGAACAAATTGGTGGCGATTGAAAAAAGTGATGTGCACTCCCCTCTCAAGAGGAGGGTCAAATTGGTGGCAATTGAAAAAACGAAAATACTATTTGTACAGTCCAGTGTGCACTCCCCTCACAAAAGAGAGTCTCACCTCTTGTAAGGGGTGTGGAGTGTACATACAACAAACCCTTGAAAAAGAAGAAGAAGATATATATACGGTGTGGACCCCCCTCTTGTAAGGAAAATGTATACCGGAGGGTATGTATTGCAAAACCCTTGAAAAGAAGAAGAAAATATAAACACACCCACAAGGGATTAAAAAGATTAAAAATTGGAGGAGAATTAGGCATAGACTAACCTCAAACAGAGAGAGAGACGGACGATCGTGGCGGCAAGAAAGATAATTTCAGATTTCTTTGTGCAATAATTCATCAATAATTGTAAAGGTAGTTTGTGAATTAATCACATTTCGTCAATTTCTCGGTGATATCATTTAAACTTTATCTATTTAATCCTTATATTATGCTAGGCTACATTAATTTTGTGCTAGAATTACAATGAAACTTATATCTAGAACCTTTAACTCTTGATTTGATTTATTTTTGACATTTAAAGCTTATTTTCGATTCTTGAATAATTGCCATTGATTTAAATTTTTCTACAATTATATGTGCAATAGTTGTATGAGTTTTGTGACTTGTTTTAATTTCGAAAGATTAAAAATAAGTTAAAAATAATGTTAATTATCGTAAAGTCCGATAGGGAATAAAAATATACTACTATACTTTACATGATATTTGAATATTTATAAATCTTTAATGTATTTTTCTATATTCGCATCCGTTATAAAAAATAATCGGGTCACATATAAGAATATGTTTAATTCTATTCGAGAGAAATTGTTAAATAAAATAGGAATCTTGGCTTTGACGATTGAATCGTGTTGTCAAATTTATAAATTTCGAGTTAGAGGAATTGATATAAGAGGATTCGGGATCCCAATACGCGTTTCATCATTATATTTTTACAAAACTTGCATTTAATTATAATCTTACATTTAGCTCCCGTTTGTTATCCATTATTTTACATTCTACCAAATTATTTTTTATACAAAACTTATTTTTAACCATGCATTTTTCATTAAAATAATATTACATGCAAATCGAAAAATTTTCCTTCTTTTTTAATCACACATCATCCATCAGTCTACTATTTCATAATACATTTTTCAAAATTAAACGGGCTCAAACACATCTTTATTTTAGTTAAGTTAGGTCTTGCATCATAAGTAGATTATTTAAATTACAGAAAAATTCAAAAATTTCAATTGTTTCAGTTTGAATTTGAACTAGTAATCTCCGTGGGAACGATATTTGAATTCAAAATCTAATTTACTACATATTAATGAATCGTGAACTTGAGATTCTTTTGATCGAACAATACTTCGTCAACAATGAGTGACTCACAAATGGAGAACAAGGATCGAGAACATAAAAACTAGTCATCTCATGCTCAGCTCACGGCCTTGAACAAAACTCAAATATTTTGTAACTCAAACCAGTTAATTTACATGAAGCTCGAGCTCAGAAATCCATAATCAGGTTTTGCACCTATTTCATTGAACTCTTGGATTGGAACACCACATGCATCATCTCTATACGCAAAATACCATGATCAGTATGAGCTGGTTGGAATCTTATTACACTTTGTGAGTTGTGAGTTGTGAGTTGTGAGCTGCGTGGTACAAAACATAAGTATGCTCGGTGATTATATGTCATAGTAGTTCTTTTTTTTTTAAAAGGCTAACCCAACCAACCGAACTGAATCA